AACAAGTTTCAACTTTCTTAAGACAAAAGGAATCTTTGGCTAAGCAGAAAAAATGCACGGAAGGAGGCATGAGATTCCTTCCCTGAAGTAAGCAGATCAAACCATAAAGGGATGAAACAAAATATTTATATTCAAACACTCATCTAATTCCCTGCCCTTCTAGAAGGAGACTTTTTTCCCCTCACAAATGCCAATGATTTAAACTTCTGCTTTAACTATAATAATATTTTATTTGCTTGCTGTATTGATTTTTGCCTCAACCAAGGAAAAAAGGAAAGCAGAGCTAAGTCTCCTCTTGTGCTGAACTACTAAAGAGAAAGAGAAGATCTACTACCCTATGTGAGTGTTTTGTCATTTACAGGCCATACTAACTATATATTCCACATCCCTTATCCAAGTGGGAAAGGAACTCTCTACCAGAATAGCTTGATGAATTCTCGTGAGGTAAATGAGGTACGACTGTTAATCTTTGAAACACTATGCTTTTCTCATAATGACAACAGTGGCTTGTATTTCTGTGGAATTTGTTTCAACAGAATGGTACATTTCCTTCTGCAAATAAAAAGCATGATTCTCAACAACATCCCTGGGAGGAAGGCAGGTTTGATCTCCATGGCATGAAGGCTAGGCAATGGGCCACAGAAAGAGTTGGTCTTCCCAATGGAAGAGGGTGTTAAGGAAAGGTGCAACAACATGGTTTGCTTGCAGATCCCACAACTTATTAAAAAATGGACCACAGTTTTTCTGTCCATCAAATAAAACACATTTTGAAATATTTATTATCTTGTCAGATGAAGCAGGAAATTCCAGCCTAAAATAAATAAATTATTACCACCCACAATAGGTCACATGGCACAAAATAAGGATTTTTTTCTTTCTTATATCTCTGCTGTACACTGAAACCACTTCACTGTACATGGAATGATTAAGCCCTAACGAAGCATTTAGGAAAAGAAGGGCCTAAGAGATTATGAACCACAGAATGTTATAACTAGCTCACCAATGACCTTTCCCCTGGCCAGTGCGTTAAAATTTACAAAGCATATTTACATATATTACTTTATTTCATGTCTTCGGTAACTCCAAGTTAACCCAATTGTTCCTACTTTACAGGCAAATAGATCAAGGCCTAGATTGGAGAATTAACTTGACCGAGGTCACACAGTTGGTAAGTAGTCAAGACCTGAGCTAACATCTTCTTAGTCGGAGGTTAGGCTCCTTTCACCTCACTATGGTTGCCTTGCAATGAGCAACATCCAGGTTAACCAAATCCAATCTGCCATCACGACATAGAGTTAGCCCAAAGAATACAGTCGAGTTATTCTGTCCTCTAATACAGTGTTTCTCAAACTGTGATCCATTTGTATTAGAATCACCCAAGAAGCTTGCTAAAATCCTGGAGATTTTATTCAGTAGGTTTGGGACAAGGCTCTGGAATCAGTGTATTAAATTCACACTCCAGATGACTCCGACAATCCTTTGGAATCCTTGATGCAGCCCAATTTCCATGGCTTCGGAAGCCACTGGAAGCCATTCTGCCAACTCCTAAGGGCAATGCTCAGTGTGATGTGAAAGATCTATACAGAAGAAAAAATAAACACTGATCACAGTCCCAAATCCATAGGCTTTTACTCTGAGATACTTCTGGGGTGACTTGATATTTCAATCTCTTCTGTTTCTAAAAGTGGGATTTGCCCTTGTTTCATCCATAACTTTCTCCTCCCCCAGCAAATGGAAACCTTAGGGGAGCAGGTGATGACGAGACCCCTATTACTGTGAATCAGGTAGGTTCAATTCATCCATTAGTTAGTTAAGTACTTAATGATCGTTGGTCATAAATTTGTATAAGTTTATTAAGGAAAAAAGAGGCCAGGAATATGAAGTCCCACGAAATAGCTTCGCTTTTGGCATTTTTGTGACCTGGAAAATCTGCATCCCAATGATTCCAGTTCCAGTGACCATGTGAATGAAATGAGAGTTGGTAGATAATCTTCCATGTGTCCTGCGAGTGCTGTTGACAAACTGAATGGATAAAGTCAGGCTTTAAAGCTTGCCCACGGCCCTTTACAACTTGTCTGATTCACAGGAGGGAAAAGTGAGGGCCAAGATCTCCAAATAAGGAGGAGGACACTCCAGGCAAGGCCAAGGTCTCTTCTGAGAAGGTGATATGGAGAACTGGGCTGGAGAGCACCCTCTGTGCCTTTATCTGTGCTGACACAGGGTGGGGTGAGCTATCTTGGGCTGAAACTATATTACTTATGGTGACTGGATAGAGGAGGGTACGAGGTAGAGAGACAGGATGTACTGAAGTAGATAGAAATGGGTACAAGAGGACGGCTCTAATGAAGAGTTCAGTCTTGACTCTGTTGAAAACACAAGCTGTCCTGGTGGCTATGTCATATGGGCAGCTGGATCTGGGTCTGGGGCTGAGAGGAATGGTGTGGATTGGAGATGCGAGTGTGAAGTTATAAGCACAGAAACCCACAGAGGCATGGTACATGATAATGCCTGAGAGGGTGTTTGAAGTGAGGAGGAAGGAAAGAACAAGGACTAGAGAATCCAGAGTTTATCACTGAGCGATCTTCAGCAGAGAAGGAGAGGGAGACTAATGAAACAGAGAAAGTAGGCATATATGATATTAGAGAAGGCTTCTACTGATGGGCTGTTGGATCGTTTCCTATCTTTTGCAATAAATACTTTCGTACGTACTCATTTCTCACATCTGTATCCACCTCTAGAGGATAAACACCCAAAAGTGGAATGGCTGTATAATACATATGCCTCATTTTGAATGTGAAAGTGTTGATGTTTGAAATGTTGCTCAGAAAAGCCACCAAATGTAGGTAGCGAAGTTAACCATATGTAATGTGGCATTTGATAGGTGGGGTTAAATAAATGTGCCATATCTCTATAATGCAACACCTAATATAGCCATAAGAAAGAATGAGGCTATCAATCATTTCTGCTAGGGAAGATAAAGAAGGCAGACTTACTTTTCGCAGTTTTGAACTATTTAACTTTTGTGCCATTCACATACATTACCTATATTTAAAAATATTTGTACTTGTACACAACACTTAGTAAAACAGAGTGACCTGAAGGTCAATTCACCTTTTCTTTCTGAGAATACCACTGCAGGTTTCTGACGGACTTCTGCATATTTGGGTTTTTGCATTATGGAAATACCCAATTAGATATTGGATTTTATGAAAAAATAATTGCTTTAAAAGTGGCAAAGGTCTGAACTCATAGAGTTATGCTCATCTTGAGTCCAAGGTATACACTTTGGAATTTATTATTTTGCCACTTCTATGATTAGTGAATAAATATACTTTAGTTTGTTTACACTGGAGAGGTCTCCAGACGTCACCAACATCACCCTCTCATGTACCCTAATAATGTCACTGCAGACAGAATGAGTCAGATTAAGTCTGAAGACAATTAATTTTTCTAATATAGGAAGTAGTGATGATCTTACAGTTTTAGCTTTCTGTTTTTAAGAAGAGCAGCACAGGGATATGGGTGTTGAGTTTAAAAAAAATGTTCCCTAGGTACTAAGCTACAACTGACCAATAAGTTCAATTTTTGAGAATTAGCCTATTTTTGAATAATACTGAAAACGGACTGCTTATTCCTAAGAATAATACTAAATATATTCTTATTTCAGTTTTTAAAATTCAAGAAGAAATTCAGAATATGGGAAAAATTAGCTTGAATAAGCCTGAAGATGATTCTAGCTTTCATATCACTAAAATTCCGTTTCTACCTTTTCGAAGATTTTATATGAATTCAAGTGAAAAAATGAACTGAGGGGCTAGAATAGGACTCCAGAAGAAGAGTGAGGCAGGTACTTCATACTGAAATAACCCACCTCCACTCCACCTTCCTTCATCTCTGCCCTCCCATCCACCCTGAGAAGTGTAAGATTATGCCAAGGGCTACAGTAGAAAGAACACTGGCTGACAAGTCACACCCTGGATTTACGTCTGGATACCGTCATGGCTTCTATACAATCTTGGGCAAGTCATTTCAGCTCTCTAGGGGCTTCAGGTTTAGAATATGCAAAATGAGGAACCAGGTCTGAAGTACCTTTCAACTTTAACTATCTTTGCCTCTAACTTTGGTGGCTGACGCACCTGGAATTTCAGCTAATAGAAGGTAAAGTAGATTGAACTACTGAACTACTGATTCTTCTTCCCTTCCTGGATCCTCATGCTTGCTATGGCTTCACCGTGAACAGAGTAGATTTCGCTGCCTCCTGATTTTAGGCTTGGCCATATGACTTCCTTTGACCAGTGGGATATCAGTAGATACGACACATGCAGGGGCTCAAAATGTACATTAGTTCTTATTCCCTTGTAGTCAGTGGCTTAGAATATTTTACAAAATAGATATTTACAATGGAGCTCTCTAACTCCTAAGTCATAATTAGGGTGACACTACGTGTCCATTTTCCCTGGTCGATCCTGGTTTACATCTATTGTTCGGATAGAAAGATCTAGTTCTTTTCACTCTCAAAACTGGTCTGATTTAGATTATAGATTATATAATCACCATAGAAAAACCTGTCCGTTCATCTTGAAAACTTACCTGCTTAATCCACAACTTTGCTACAATAACAGGGCCATCTCCTTGTCTGAGCAACCATCCCCACAATGCCTTTTAGGGATTATGGGAATTCCCAGGGTGAGGAAAGCGTAGTCAGTATTCTTCTTACTCTACAAGTGATCTACGTTATGAGTGGCCCCTTTAACCCTCAAACCATTTTAGGAAATGTAAAATAACTCAGTAATAGAAAAAGTTTAGGGATTCCAAATTTCAACTGTAGTTTCAAAGAAGCTTGTACTATTTCCCTTATGGTATAAAGTCTATGAATCATTGCATAACGTGCCGTTGACAGGACAGTGTGGCACACTTTTTACCATCCAATCAAAAAGGCCCTGGTCCCTGGACACACAGAGGTACATGCTCTTTGAGACACTCAGCGAGACTCTAAATGTTCATAACGTGGACATCCCTACTCACATGTCCCAATACCCTCAGGTGAAAAATGGCAGGGAAGCAGAATCCCAGGTCGCAAGACCAATACTGGGATCAAACAGCAGACAGACAGTGCCTGGAGGTCTCACTTTGGAGACTGGTACCTTCAGAGCCTACACTTCCCCATGCTGGACCGGAGCATGAGCACACCCTCGACGGGAGTCCCAGGATTGTCCGCCATCTTCTGCCACAGGCGTTGCTCTTCCCCTTGAGAGTCCATCCAATCCACACTCTTCCCATGGCTCACACCTGAGAGGAAGGCACAAGGGAACATTACCCTTCACAGATGAAATGTTTGGATCTTCTGGAAGACACCTATCAACCTCTGAGGGGGCCTTATTGAGCAGAGTCCTTCACTGGCTTGTTTTCACTCACCCTACCTAGTGAGTAGTGTTAGAACGACAGACTCCCTTTGCAGTTGGCACTACACTCTTCTGCCAAGATAATGAGAAACAAAGCAGGATGGCCCTCATGGCCCATTTCTTCCCCTGCTCTGGTAGTCTCTCAGATAGCTGGCTCATTGAGACTGAGGTAAGAGGACAGAGGAACAGGATAAAGTGGGCTCTGGGGCTCTCCTTTTTTAACAAGGCTGCTTCTGCAACCTGGTGACTTTTCAGTTTAGTGGTATAGATATTTTTGGCTTTCCTTAATCTATAACTACGCACAGCACCACACAGGTGGGGTTGTTCTTAACAGTACTGACCACAGTGCACAACATCGACCCTCTGTGTCTGACATAAGTTATGGGATAATGAGGGTCTTGGGGGCTACCTGTGCTCTGCCCCCATCATTTCCCTCCAATCTGCCCGGTTGTGGCCGTGTCTTGTGACATCAGCGGCATGTTTCCACAATCTGTTTGAACAACATTAGGTGTTATTTTTTAGGGAGAAAAGTGGGTTTCCTTTCAATTCAACCAGTGAGTCATCTGAGAAGAGGATGAAGTAAAGTTGATCTTGGAAATCATTCTCTCCCCTCTCAGAAGCCTGTGCTGTCTCGGTGATCCTCCCCTGAGAAAAACCTGAAACAACACCCACGAAAGTAGTTGACATTCACTTAGACTAAAGTGTAAGTGATATTTTATAAAAGGACTGAATATAAACATTGAAGCTACATGTACATCTCCTACATACTAACCCACAGGAACCACTAGTCACACACTATCTCAGGGTGGCCAAGTCCCTCACCGGTTCCAGAATTCAAACGAACTCCTCCCAGAAAGATGTTGCTGGAAAACGCCTCCTTGTCCCAGACAGTAAGTTCTAGGCAAACATTCTTTATATCCTGGGGGTTCAGGCCACTGAACATGAAAGTATGATTCCACTGAGGGTTAACACTCTTCTTTACCACCAGAGTTTTGTGCTTGGTAGCTTTGCTGTCATCTGGGAGCAGGTAGCTGCAAGAGAAAATGCAATCAAGCCATCGGGGAAAACAGAAAATGGCTTCCTTGAGTAGTTATTTCCATTCCCCGTAGTTCTTGGTGCCTGTGTGTATTTCATTTTTTCTTCAAGGTACTTATATGCTTACATCTAGATTTAAGTGGAAGATTTTATTGTTTATTTTAAGTAGGACAATAGCAAAATGCCTGTACTCTCCTTTCTAATCCTATTTTGGTCCTTCCCTCTTCTCTAAATGAAAATATCTCCTGTAGTAGGTACTTACAATAAAGAAGACACCGTGCAACACTTAAGATTTCATTCCATGTACCAAGAAGAGACTGCTTATCCCTCGATATTCATGCTCTCCTTACTCTTTAAAAAGACTCTTTTTTTTTTAAAGATTTTATTTATTTATTTGACAGAGAGAGAGATCACAAGCAGGCAGGGAGGCAGGCAGAGAGAGGAGGAAGCAGGCTCTCCACAGAGCAGAGAGCCCGATACGGGGCTCGATCCCAGGACACTGGGATCATGACCTGAGCTGAAGGCAGAGGCTTTAACCCACTGAGCCACCCAGGTGCCCCAAAAAGACTCTTTTTTTTAAGTTAGGCACAAGATTGTCCAGAATAAAGACTACATTCCCAGCCTCCCTTGCTTCCAGCATAGCCAATGTACTAAGATCCTGCCCAAAGAATATAGAAAGTGGTTCTGCATGAAATTTCTGAGAATTGTCTTGACAGCTGGAATTTAGATGGGATAGCTGATACTCCAGCAGCGATCTTGGCCATGAGGTGGATACCACCCCAAGAGAGAAGAAACAAGAGTCCCTAATTATCATGATGCTTTCATACCTGCCCTAGATGGTTTACCCTTTGTCTTTGTATACATGCGAGAGAAAGAAATTTTGCTTTCTGATGTTCTCTTTCCTTTTTAATGATTTATTTATTTTGAGAGTGTGAGAGAGTGAGCATGTTGGGGAGGGGCAGAAGGAAAGGGAGGGAGAGAATCTCAAGCAGAATCCCCACTGAGCATAGAATCCTATGCAGGGCTTAATCCCAGGATCCCAAGACCAGTACCCGAATCAAAACAAAGAGTCAGATGTTCAACTAACTGAACCACCCAGGTGCCCCCTTTCTAATGCACTCTTAGAAAAAAAACCTGAGGTTCCTTTAAGATCAGCTCAATATTTAAGTGTAATTAGAGAAAGAATTTACTAGAAAGTCACTGGCCTTTTTTTCACTATCGAATAAAGATATCATCCTTTATTATCTCTGTTTTGTAAATGTTCAACATGATATAGTGAAAACTATTTCAAAAGATATTAGTCACCCCTGCAAGGCCACAATGAGGCCATAGGTGAGGAGCCATTCCCTCATCCCATTAGACAGTGGGCATGAGAGGCCTGAACAGGATGGTGGGGCTGGTGAGGCAAGTCGTAGTCACAGGATGCAAATAAAGCATTTCTTTTATGCTTAAAACTATTGTGAAAAAAAATGAAGGACAGATGAACTGGGACTCAGGCCCACACATTCACCAGCAGGAAAGCCCCAGATACCTGCTTCACCTTACTACTGGCTTTACCAAAATTAGAATGTGTGAGGGTAAAGGTTTGACTCATTTTCTTACAGAGTCAATTACAGTTTTTTAAGAAGGATTGATGAGAGGAACAATAATGTCATTGACTCAAAGAATTAACCTCATGCCCAAAACCTGTAATAAATAGACAAAAAAAAAAATAAAAAGAAAGCCAAACATAACACTACAGAAACTCATCAACCACAAAGAAAGAGAGCAAGAGAAAACCAAAGGAACAGAGAAGAACTACAAAAACAACCAGAAAACAATGAACAAATGGCAGTATGTGTCTACTTATTAATAATTACCTTATTTTTAAAATTTTATTAAACTCAATTAACATATAATATATTGTTAGTTTCAGTGGTAGAGTTCAGTGGTTCATCAGTTGCATACAACACCCAGTGCTCATTCCATCACATGTCCTCCTTAATGCCCAGCACCCAGTAATCCCATCCCCCCACCCACCGCCCCTCCAGGGACTCTGTTTGTTTTCTATAGTTAAGAGTCTCTTATGGTTTGCCTTCCTCTCTGATTTCATCTTATTTTATTTTTCCTCCCTTCTCCTATGATCCTCTGTTTTGTTTCTTAAATTCCACATACCAGTGAAATCGTATAATTATCTTTCTCTGCTTGACTTATTTCACTTAGCATAATACCCTCTAGTTCCAAGCACATCATGGCAATAATTACTTTAAACATAAACGGTCTAAATGCTCCAACCAAAAGATAGAGGATGGCGGAATGGACCAAAAAAACCCCACAAGATCCATCTTTATGCTGCCTATAAGAGACTCAAGTCAGACCTGAAGATACATACAAGACTGAAAGTGAAGGGATGAAAAAAATCTTACCATGCAAATGGAAGCAAAAAAAAAAAAAGCAGCTGGAAAAAACAATATTTATATCAGACCAAACTGAGTTTAAAACAGACTGTAATTGGGTGATGGGCATTAAGGAGGGTATCCCTATGATGGGCACTGTGTGTTATATGCAACTGACAAATCACTAAATGCTACATCTGAAACTAATGAAGTACTAGAAGTTGGCTAACTGAATTAAAATTAAAAAAATTAATTAAACAGACTGTAACAAGAGACAAAGAAGGGCAGTACGTAATGATAAAAGGATCAATCCAACAAGAGGGTATAACAATTGTAACTATCTATGCATACAATATTGGGACACCTAAGTACCGAAAACAAATATTAATGGACATAAGGAGAGAAATTAATGGTAATACAATAGCAGGGACCTTTAACACCCTACTTACATCAATGGATAGGCATCCTGGTAGAAAATCAATAAGGAAAATGTGTCCTTGAATGACACATTAGACAAGATGGACATGACAGATGTACACAGAATGTTCCATTCCACAAAGAATATACATTCTCTTCAAGCACGTATGGAACACTGTCCAGAATACATCACATGTTAGGCTACAAAATAGGCCTCAATAAACTTGAGAAGACTGAGATCATACCATGCATTTATTCTGACCATGATTCTATGAAACTAGAAATCAAGCACAAGAAAAAAAAAAAACTGGAAAAAAGAAATATGCTGTCCCCAAAACACTCTCCAGTCACTATCTCCAGGGAGGGTGCTCTGAAATTTCTACTTTTTACAATTTCCCCTAAGAGAGCAAAATATGAAGGAGCCAATATTCTTGTTGTTTATTGCCAGTACCAAATGATAACAAAGCACAATATAAATATATTACAGAGAAAATCATATTTTCTCCTCCTTTGAGAAATGAATCTCACAGGAAAATCTGCCAGTATTGAGGGTGAGAATGATGGGAAATCCTGAGATATGCTGGAAGCAAGGGGAAAACTAGAATTAGGAGCCCCCTCGCCTCGTGTTGTTTCAGATCTAAAAGCCAGCATTTAAGGTAGCTTTCTCCTTGTCCATTTAGAGTAAGATGAACACAGAAGTCTCATAGCCAACCCTGTCTCATGGGTCACAGAACTTCTCAACTCCCATTAAGTATCTTCTAAGATGAGTTAGAACAAAATTACCCCTTCACAAAGCTATCAGAAGTGCCTCCTGACTTCACCGCTGTCAAATTCTTTGCCTCTTTGATGAACACTTCCAGTATTCCTCCAAAGATTACGGGTGACTCCTTCTTCTTTCCCCTTTTGAAGGTCTTCTTTCCTGCATCAGCCATCAAAGAGAGAGAGATAGAGAAGGAGGGAGGAAGAAAGGAAGGGAGAAGGAGGGGGAAGGGAGAGAAGGGAAGAGAGAGAAATCATGGGTTCCATTTCAAAATTCACAAAGAAAACCTGCCAAGATTTATTTCATTTGCTGACTGAACTGGGTCATTATGTTATTGTGTTTTTCCATGATTTATTCAAATGTTTCTACCTCACCAGATTCCTTCTGGATAGGTCTTTCATTTGTGTTTTTTGAAAAAAAAAAAAAGAAGAAGAACAAATAAATTTAAAACTGTAAATACTTCCCAACAAGGAGTACTTTTTTAAAGGGTATAGAGGAACAAAATGGAAACGAATCTGAGAGCTGCCTGAGCCATATTCTTGCTCCCCGTGAGAACAGTTACAGAGATAGCCACACAGAAGTGCCAAGACTCCAAAAGAGAAAATTCCGCGACTTCCTTCTAGGGAGCTCTAAAGGCTATACATGGCCCAGGCACAACTATGTTTTTGATTGAGAGACAACTCTCCCCACGTCACATTTTTATTCTGAGGAAATGGCTCAATGTGAGTAATAATCACCGCCACCGCCTTTATTCCGTACTGGTTTAGGCACTTTCCATGAATGAACCTATTTAATCCTTGCACTAGCCCTATGAAGTGAGGAAACGGAGGCAAAGAGGCAGTGAATTACTTGCACAGGGTCACAATGAAGAGGGTGACAGTGAATGGAAGGCTAGAGAAGGATGCTTGGATCAGTTGATGGCAGAAGGCCAAAAGGACTTAAAAGTTGACTCCATCTGGATTTTTCCTTTACATCCTGTGTTCTAGGTCAACTTCTTCCTCAAGACTCCCTGAGTAACTGTGACTGTCAGAAATCTATACAGCAGCTTTTTACATCTCTCCTTTCCACAGACTGTACTCCTCCCCACCACCCTTCTCCATCCTGGGGAACATCCTAGATCTCTGGGATTTCTAGGAAACAAATGCCACCAGTAAGCCTGGTTTCTAGTATAAACTTTGTCCTTTACTCCTAAAGATCCTGCCCCCTTACCCATTTGTAGGATATACTTCTCAACTCTCTTCCAAGACAGTGACACCCAACCCTTTACATTTTAATCTGTGTAATGCCAAAGTAACATAATCCAACCAATTCCTGATCCCTGTTACCATACGTCTAGACACAAAATGCCCATGGTCAAAGTCATTGATTTTTACTCTACCTTGAACTTGTTCTAGAGGAATCATCAGGTTCTCCTCTGGGGGGATGTAACGTAAAACAACTGTTAGCTCTCCTTTATAGTGAAGGCCTATGTCTGCAGCGAATTCCACCTGGCCAAAGGGAGACAGGTGAAGAGAAAAAGTGAGAATGTTTGGTTTATTATTTTGTAGCCCATGTTTGAATGGCCTTGTCATATTTACTTGTTGGTTTAAGTATGACAATCCATTCCTATTCAACTGTTAGCACTTATTGGTTTAAGATATGCCTTAGGTAAGAAAAGAGAAAGGCCAGAAAACTTTGTATTCTTTGTACAAAAGGTATTTGTGTGTAACGTTTAACATTAAAATAAAAGGAATTTGAGAGGAGATATATGACACACGTGTGGTCATCAGTGGCTACTGACTGCCTGTGGTGCAACGAGGACCCATCACTGAACATAGAGTTTGGGGTATGAGGCACAAATAAAGATGCCATGGAGAAAAGCTCCAGAAGATACGTCTCCCTGTCTGCTCTTGATGTCTCAAAGCTTTCCTAAGTGACCAAGAGGGAGAAATAGCCAGGAATGCGTGATTCACATTGGGTTACCCAGTCACTAATTATTCAAAGCTATATTGTAATTCACATGATTAAAATTTGATGTGGAAGGCCACCTGGGTGGCTCAGTTGGTTAAGCATCTGACTCTTGATCTCAGCTCAGGTCTTGATCTCAGGGTCATGAGTTCAAGTCCCTCACTGAGCTCCACACTGGGCTGGAGCCTCCTTAAAAAAAATTCAGTGTGGAAAAACTGGTTCACTCAAACATTGTTGGTGAGAATGTGAAATGGTATAGCCACTCTGGAAAATGGTAGGGCAGTTTCTTGTAAGACTAAACATACAGATACCATACAACCCAGCAACTGCATTTTTGAGCATTTATCCCAGAGAAATGAAGGCTTATGTCCACATAAAAACCTGTATACAAATATTCATATCATCTTTCTATGGACTAGCCCCGAACCGGAAATGAACTAGATGACCTTCAAGAGGAGAGGTGGCTGGTGCAACATGGTGTGGTACAGCCATATCATGGACTACTGCTTAGCAGTAAAGAGGAATGAACGGACAATACACAAGACAATTTGGATGAACCTCTACTGAATTACGCTGAGTGAAAAAGCGAGCTCAAAAGGCTACGTACCATACCATTTCATTTAAATGATAGTCTTGAAGTGACAAAATCATAGATATGGAGAACAGATTAGTGGTCTCTGGAGGTAGGGAGGGGTGTCAGGAGGGAGGTGGGTGTGGCTATAAAAGATCACAAGAGAGCCTTGCTATGAAGGAACTGTTCTGTATCTTGGCTATAGTGATAGATAAAGGTACAGATGTGATAAAATTGCATAGAACACACACACACACACACACACACACACACACACACACACAAATGAGAAGTGAGGAAGTCTGAAGAAGATGGGTGTGTGGTATCAATGTCATCACTCCAGGTGTGGCATTGCTCTATAGCTTTGTGAGATGCTACCATTGGGGAAAACTAGGTAAAGGGTACATGAGATCTCTCTGTATTACTTCTTACAATCGAATGTGGCTCTGTAATCATCTCAAAATCAAAAGTTTCAGTTCAGAAATTCAATGTGAACACATACCCAGAGCCTTTGTTCTGTAAGTCTCCTCGTTGCCATTGAGTCAACTTTTTATAAAAGGGGTAAGAAAAGTAGTATATTTTCTTTGGCCTTTCCTTCAGGAACCTGGCTCCTGGGTGCTGAGTCAAGGGCTGGGAACTATGTCTTCCGAGAAGGTAGACCAAAAGAATTCAGAAACTCCCAAACTCAAATAGAGAAGCAAAAGGCTGTTCAAGCCTCAGCAAAGACGATGGAAACCATTACCGGCAAAGGAATCCTTACCTGACTTTCCTCTTGGTTGGTGATAAAACTTAATCAGTAAAGGTGGTAAAATCATTTGAAGTATTTTATTCACCCTTCTTGCTAGGGGCAAACGTGAGATTAGACAGACTACCCATCTAATTTTTAATCTAATTAAGTTATACGCCTTGTGAAAAGGACTTTTCTTGTTGTTTTGACAGTTTCAGTACATTTTACTTTATATGAATGTCACAATGGAAAGTTATAATGGACATTATAGCAAAGTAAAGAGATCATTACTTTTCCAGTGCTATAGCCAACGAGCTACAGCTCATTGGTGTTTATCCTTTCTCTTTGGATCTGAGTGGACCTTGTGATTGGTTTGACCAGGAGACCATGGCACCAGTGACAATGTGCCAGTTTATGGGCCCCAAGCCTGAGATTAACAATTTCTACTTCCTCTCTTAGAACGAACATCCTTGGGATGCTCCCACTGAGGACCCATGGTGTTGAGGCCCAAGCCACAGAAAGAAGCCACATGTAGGTGCTCTGGTTGGCAGTCCTAGCTGAATTCCCAGTTGGCAGCTAATAGAAAGTGTGAGATGGCCAACTTGAACAATCAGCCCAGTCAAGCCTTCATACGACTTCAGCCTCAGTCTACCAACTAGCTGCAACCAAATGAGAGACCTTCGATGAGAACTACCTGAGCCTAGTCACCCCACAGAATCATGAGCAATAAGAAATTGTCATTTTAAGCCACTAAGGTTTAGAGTAGTTTTCTTTATAAAAATTAACCAATGCAGGTTCTATTTGCTTTTAGCTGAGAGCTTTGGATGGGAAAATATGTTGGTAGAAAAAAGTGATGTGTGCAGGTGTGTGCATATCAGTAGAGGTTAGAACATCCAATACTGGGATTTATTAATGTTCCATTGGTCTTTAGCTTATATTAATTAAAATATACTGGTGATTTTCTATAAATACAGTCTTGAAAACTTATAAAAGTAGAAAAGAGTAAAGATGAAGACTTGTAGCATTATAATCACATACAAAAGAAATTCAAGGGAGGGAGTCATCCTACAGCCTGTGCATCGCTAATATCTTGGGATAGTTTTGATATTCTTGCAAGGAAATTCCAAGGCAATGTCTCATCTCCTGACATACCACCATTTTACATCATTCAACCACCTTTTGCTCTGAAAAAGGTAGAATTCAATTCAATTAAACTCATTCAATCCTATCATCACATACGGGATGCCTTCTTGTAGTAATGTTTTGAAGGCATTTTGCTAAGTGTTGCAGGGGCATATAAGACACAGACCCTACTGAGCTTTCAATCTATCCAGGAGACATATATTCAATAGAAGCTCTATAAATCTGTCCTTATTTAACTGACTCATCAGATTAATGTTCTCTATTCCCAGTGAAGAGACCATGCATGCCCACTTCTGTCAGTTGAACTGTATGCTCGCCAAAAGCCAGCTGCATTCATCTCCCAGGTTCTCTATGCTGGGCATGTTTGTGGTTCTAATTATATAATTTAATATCAGTAAACTAAAGAATGCAAAAAGACAGCTACTACTATAAACATTAAGCTGAATACTTTCAAATAACTAAGTATTTGAAAATAAATTTGCTATTGGATTACATTTGGGCTCGAAGCTGTAAAAGATTAAAAAACAATCATGAATATTTAGAAAGCTTTTATATTTGGTTTACTTTGAAAGCACTCTCAAGTTCCTGCTGTACTTTAGAAAAGCTCAAACTAGAAACTACTGATTAGAATGCACTAGGGTCAGAATTTAAGCCAGGAAGGTAGGACGGAATTCTAATTACCGAAACTATCCTCAAGCAAAATGAATTATCCTTATGTTCAAAGACTTGAAAATCAATGCATATTTGGTTTAAGTTAAAATAAATGATTAAGAAATGCACTCAGAGTGTATGTTTGTGTAAGTATGATTTCTGTGGATTTATGAACTGACCTACTACTGTAAGGTCAGTTCTGACAAAGGATGACAGTTGTTCCAATACAGGTACAAAGAAACTACTGTGGGAAGAGACAGAATCACCTGGATTGGGATAAAGGGGTGACCTTTATCCCAATGGGAGATAGGATGACTGATAAAGAGAGGATGGGAAAAAGATCTGTCTGGGTTAAGAAAATACTAATATCAAAATACAGTTGGGACTGTGTAAAACGTGTTTAAAAGCTGGCGGGAACTCAGGTTTAATTGATCAGAGGTTTGTGTGAAGGGAGGTGGTAACAAGGAAGACAAAACGGGGTTCTACTCTGGGTTGCCCAGAAGACCCTAAGACACAAATTTATCTTAGTGTGTTTTATTGGGATGGGGAGTGGGGAAGTGGGACCACAAAGTCAAGGAGGCTTAAGAAGGTTGTGATATCAGGCAAAGGTTTATGATGAGTAGCTTTTTCTCAGTTCTGCAAGGGAGCTTTGCGGACAAGGCAGATCACATCTCTGAGCGCTGTCTCAACCAGAGACAAGAGAATAGAAGTGTTGATGACACTCCTTCGGCTATCAGTTACTGAACAAGGGCTCTGCCCTCTACTCCTCAGAAAACTTGAATACCCAGGCTCTTCTGCCTCTTCATGCCCACAGACCAAGCCCACATCAGCACCCTGAGGGCTCCTCTCCTACGAAGACTGGCAGGTGCTGGCTGGTGTGAGCAAAAGCCATGGGGAGCCCCATACAAACGATGTTGGGGATCCGGGTAGAGCACTGACATCCACCCCTGGTACAGAAGGCGGGGCCATATCAAGGAGCACTGAAGTGCTGGGATGATGGGTCAAGATTTATTCAAACCATATGCAAAAGCAGTAGGGAACCAGTGAGGGTATCTGACTGATATGGCGTCACCAGGGAACCCCCATTATCTTCTGCCTTTTCAAAAGAGCGATCCACATTACATCAGCGTTGGAAGCAGAGTTCCCAGTACATTTTCAGGTCTACTACGGTGGGGGTAATAAATTACGGACAAGAGTCTGCCCAAACCACCAGTTACAGAGAGCCTTTCGGCTCAGGAATAATTTCACAGAAATTTGCATCGACTCTGCCTGAAGGCAGAACACAGATTTCCTTGGAAAACATTCGAGCTCGCTGTTGATTTTCAAAGCTCCTTGTTTTTATAATAGCACCTTCTGGGAAGACATGAAAGGCAATTCATACTGACAAACCCTTCTTGTCTAACTACCTAATATGCCTTTCAGAGAGATAATGAGTTACAGCTAATAAACAGTCTCATGTCACGCAGTAAAATGGAAATCATACTGTGAAACTACTTTACAGGACGTTTGACAGCTTGAGATCTTCCTCTGTCCGCCCCAGCCTCCTCACTGGCTTAGGGCCATAAGACCTACCAAAACCAAAGGCGGTGTCAAAGGACATTTGCTAACGCAGAGTCAGTAGAAATAAGGCACCGTGTCTTTCCAGTATTCCCACTGCAAAGGGATGTCAGTATTTGCGAACACTGAAGGACTATTGATTCTGACCCTCTGTCACTAAGGAAATTGGTCGCTGTAGCTTACACTTACACCTCTCTGGCTGGATAATCTACAAGGAAACATTGAGTGTCCAAGGCTGCTCATACTCTAGCCAGAGCTGCTGAAGTGACTACTGCCTTGAAGGGGCTGAGACAGGAGACTGAAAACAGAGTGACGCTTCCCAGAGTCGGCTGATACCCCAGCACCCAGAGCCCAGCCCAGCCTGAGGATGAGCCACCAATGAAGAGAAGGCAGCCTGCGGAGTATGTTGCATCTATCTTCCCCATTTCCCATTTCTGGAAGGCATGGTGCCCAAACAAGGCTGACTCTGCGGGCTTTCCTCTGTATGTGTCAGAGACACATATACATATCCCCCATGGGTCAGAGACCACATGTGTGCCTCTATGTGTCATCTTTTTCCTGGAAGAGAAAGATGACAGGGATTAAAGACATAAACCTAGGGGAGCCTGGGGGTGCTCAGTCCTTCAGCCCAGGTCATGATCTCAGGGTTCTGGGATCGATCCCCGCATAGGGCTCTCTGCTCAGCAGGGAGCCTGCTTCCCGCACCCCCAGCCTGCCTCTCTGCCTACTTGTGATCTGTCAAATAAATAAAATCTTAAAAAAAAAAGACACAAACCTCTAAGGGGTTCCCCAGAAGCTCACCGTGAGGTGAGGGTTCTTACACACTGCCTTATTAAGAATTGTTCCCAGGATAGACCAGGGAAGGGGTGACAAGGATGAAGGTCAGGGTCAGGGTAGCCTGATCTGGTGGGAAAGCTGTAGAGTGTAAGTAATGCCTTGGGGCACCACTCCCTTACCCCCTACCACTCTCAGTAAGGGAACTGGGCTTTCCGACTCCCCAATGTATGAGTTATTGGCAAAGGGCTGCCTTGTGAGAGGTGGTATGTAAGCTCCTAGGAGCTTTGGACTCCCTGCTCACGGAAAAAGCTACAGTAGTCTGGAACAGTCTTCTAAACAGTCTCAGGTGAAGGCTGTTGGAGGCCAAACTCCTAACAGTCACGGTTAAAGGAATCCAAGGGGATCTGGCAGAGGACCAAGGAGTTCCAGACGTTACACTCAATCAGAACTTTTCTACCTTGAGCAGCCTGAGAGCTATCTCTTATGACAGAAAATGAAATCACTCAGTGGCAATGTGAAGGTGATTACCCGGAAAGTGCCTGGTCCCTAAGCACAGAGGATGCACCTGGGAGAGCTTAGATAACATCCCAGGGCAAGTCCTTCCACCATTTCCAGGAAACTGACTGGAACATTCCAAGCTGTTTTCCAAAGAGCCCCTATGTGCTTTAATGTTACATTTATGACAGATCAGTTATTTTCAGGTACTAAAATGAACATTACTTGTTCTTCATCTACATCATGCTTCATATAATGTCTTGGACATTTTCTAACTATGAGTCTGTGGTGCCCATCTATTACACACAAAAGGAAGCAAGTGCCAGGAGACTGCTGAAGTCAGATTAAGTGCTATCCTTCGTGGTAAGGCTTTTCATTCCATTCCGAGAGACTCCGTGTTTAATGACTGATTATTTCCCACAGTTAACGTCAAGGGAATATTACACTATTGCGGACTTATTTCTTGTGACTTTTGTGCTTCCTATCATATTTATGTTAGTCAGAGGCCTGCAGTTATTTTATGTTTAAGGACTTTTATTATATTTTATTATTAATTTTAGCCACAGCCCAATTATACTTTCCAAAGATTTCCCATGATTACACCAAGCTTGAGGTCCATAGTTCTAAAAGTCTACCAGAAAATTGTGTTCAGCTTCTGAGCCTCGATCTCAGATACAACGGAAACGATGATACTTACACCTCACGATGTTTGTCGTGGACACTGCGTTGCTGATGATGATCGATGCACGTGTTGCTGTCCAGCTTCCACTCACCACTGTTTTAGAACTACGATACCTTGGTTCCCTTTGGGGAAATACTATCTTCAGGAGAGGGGTATGTTCTGATTGTCTTAAGTCAGCCAGTACTTCTCACCTCCCTGGCCGGCCACGGCAGTTAGCTCAGGGCGAGCAAATGATGTCATCAGAGTGAGGAGAACCAGGCCCAGGGTGCTGAGTGGAGTGCTGGACATTTTTCCTCTCCCCGCCTGTGTAGTGCAAGGAGGAGGGGCTTGCACATATTGTAATGTCCAAGAGAATCATAGTGGAGCTAGTGAGGGAGACCAACCGCACAGAGTCTCAAAATAAAGCCAACACAGAGAAGAGAGACCAAGGGGCACCTGGGTGGCTCACTGGGTTAAAGCCTCTGCCTTCTGCTCAGGTCGTGATCCCAGGGTCCTGGGATCGAGCCCCACAACGGGCTCTCTGCTCAGCAGGGAGCCTTCTTCCCTTCCTATCTCTCTGCCTGCCTCTCTGCCTACTTGTGATCTCTGTCAAATAAATAAATAAAATCTTTTAAAAAGAGAGAGACGCCAAGAGAATCCAAGGCCTAGATATGATGTGAGTTATCTGGGTAAAACCATGTTTGATAGTCACTGGCCAATAATTTCCCTGTATTTTTTGAGTGGTATGAGCCAGGGTTTCTGTCAATCGTGATACAAGGACTGTGATGTAACAGAAACACTACCTAGCCTTTATTGAGAGCTTAAAATGTACCTGACACGGTACTGTGGGCATCCCAGAGTGCTTCTCCAAGCTTCGCAATGTCCCAGTAAGATATGTTTAAGTATTACCTCACAAATGAAAACACCAAAGCCTGGGGAGTTAATTTGTCAAATGTCATCATGAAGCCAGGACTGAACCCAGGAAGTCTGATTTGAGTCTACTATCTTTACCATCATGTTCTTTCTGCCTCTCTCTATATAAAGAACAATCTTCATGGGCACCTGGGTGGCTCAGTGGGTTAAAGCCTCTGTCTTCGGCTCAGGTCATGATCCCAGGGGCCTGGGATGGAGCCCCGCATCGGGCCCTTTGCTCAGTGGGGAGCCTGCTTCCTCCTCTCCCTGTGCCTGCCTCTCTGCCTACTTGTGATCCCTTATTTCAAGAAATAAAATCTTGAAAAAAATAAAAAGAACAATCTTTGGATACATGAATGTGATCTTTTTTCATCCCACCTTTGACTTAAAAAATCACTATAAATGTACAGAGACCCCAGTTGCATAGGGCGAATCCAAGGTACTGTTGCTCTGGTTCAGAACACACTCTGTTGCATTTAATTTCTAGAACCAGCTTCAAGACTATTTTTCTGACTATAACTTAAACCTGGGTTATGAATCTCAAAAGTCGGAATATAGGAAACCAGGTACTTTAGCTACTGGTTGCTTCCTGAGCCAAGGCAAGACCACTCCTGCTTATGTTTCAATTGTGCAGAATGGAGAATCGAGAGAATGTTCTAAGACTCTTTGCCTCTATGGATTTGTTTTTACGTCTGTGACATCGAATGCTTTCTCCTTCTGATAGGATCATATAATGTATTCCTCCTTTTTTTTAATCTTTGGGGACCTCCAAATGATGAATACATTTTTAGTAAGTCAAATTAATATTATATATGAGTATGTGACTTGCATGGTACAGATAGTCTGTACTAAAGAATGAATTCCAAGGAAACGATTTACGTGTCTTATATTACTCCAAAATTAGCTGCACTCATCTGTTCAGATTACCGCTTGAAAATGAGAAGTCTTCAGATTCTCCGGGCCCAGGACATCAATTTCGTTCCTAACTTGTCCCTTTGCATAACTGTTTGATTAATCTCCAGGCGTTTCCTACCTTGGGCTGAAGCACAAACCACTCATCACTTGGATTTTCAAAGTTCCATGAGTCAAAAGGAATCTCCACCTCCCCGAGGAAGCTGTTACGTCCGAATCGATCATGATGCCAGACCGAGAGCTGCAGAGTTCTCGTCTCCAGCTGGGTGTGGCTGATGGTGTACTGCAAACGAGAGTCACAACATCACACTCCACGTGGATGGCTCTGCCCAGTTCTACGACAGGCTGAAATTTACTTTCACCATCTTTCAGGCCATACGTGCTAGTAATATGAACAAAACAAACACAAAGGGGCGCCTGGGTGGCTCAGTGGGTTAAGCCTCTGCCTTCGGCTCAGGTCATGATCCCAGGGTCCTGGGATCAAGCCCTACATCGGGCTCTCTGCTCAGCGGGGAGCCTGCTTCCTCCTCTCTCTCTGCCTGTCTCTCTGCCTACTTGTGATCTCTCTCTGTCAAATAAATAAATAAATCTTAAAAACAAACAAACAAACACAAAAAACCACCATATTTCTCCTTGTTGGTGCTATAGCTGGGGTTCTAGGCCATACACTTATTTTGTGTTAGACCTTCAACTGAAAGATGTATCAGCCAGTTATTTAAGAAAAAGTCAATAAACTTCAAATAGTACATAAAAAGTGTTAGGTAATGATGATTGTCCCCTTTCCAGTTTTACCTGGTTTTCATCTGTGAATTGTTTTTTTTTTTTTTCAAATTAACATATAATGTATTATTAGCCCCAGGGGTACAGGTCTCTGTATCGCCAGGTTTACACACCTCACAGCACTCACCATAGCACATACCCTCCCCACTGTCCATCACCCAACCACCCTCTCCCTACCCCGCTCCCCCAAACAACCCTCAGGTTTTCTTTTTTGTTTTGTGATGTGAATCATTTTTTAAAATCTACTTTGTAAGCTTAGTGTTTGCTATATCAACTCTCCAACTTCTCTGTCTTCTAATCATGCCGAGAACCCCCAAATACAGAAAAGTACTGTCAGTGAGGAAGTTGCAAACACCGAACTTCATCAAGTCTCGCGTAAGTGCAGGAGGGAAGAGACCTGCTACAGAGATGGAGCAGAAAGACAATGTTGCTGGGATAGCTTCTCCTTTTCAGCAGAACGTGATCCACAGCCACATGCCTATACACCCTTGAACCTCACAACAGGCAACAGGTGGCCAATCACTACCACTGGAGACACACTGCAGGCTGTTTCTTGATCTTGGATTTGCTTCTATACCCATCCTTGCTGTTCCTGGCATGACTGGCTATGGCTCCCGGCTTCTAGAATTTGCCACAAATCTCTATCTGTTCTGCTAGGCTCATCTTTGCTACCTTGTTAGAGCCACCAGATTCACCCCCGCCCATATTCATTCATTCTCATTTTGATCTGTCTTCATATTGGCTCCTGCTTCCAAACATGACCCCACTGATGGATGTCCCCACTCACCAACTTCCTGCTATGGTGGATTCTGACTCCCTCACTCTGGGTACAAGGCCCGTACATTTCCCTGAGACTGGCAATAAATTCTACATTCCAGTCTCCCTGGATCCTTCTTACCATGCTAGATTGGTCCAGGGTGGGAGAAGGGGTCATTACACAGAAGCCCATGGGGGAAGTAATGTCTCCAGGAATGGGGCCTGGGTCGTGTCTTACCAGGGCCACTTTCTCTGAGCTTCCTCAAATCCAACCGTGCATCTCCACTGTTCATTAACCACGGGCCTAAATTTAGCCCAACTCTGAAATCTGACAAGAAATAGCACAAACTCATGCTGTGGGAGCACATCAAGGAGTGTGTACAAAGTGACTTGCTAAGTTAGTGTAAAAACTGTGACAAACTCCTTTTAAGGGGAACTAGGAAAAAACCTCTTTCCCAAGGGTGAAACATATTCTTTGACAAGATGCATCAGCTCAGGGGCACCTGGGTGGCTCAGTTAGTTAAGTGAATGCCTTTGGCTCAGGTCATGATCCCGGAGTCCCGGGATCGAGCCCCCCAACAGGCTCTCAGCTCCATGGGGAGTCTGCTTCTCCCTCTGACCTTCTCCTCTCTCATGCTCTCTCTCACTGTCTCTCTCTCAAGTAAATAAAAAAAAATCTTTTAAAAAAAGATGCATCAGCTCAGATGCAATTTCACTGGATCATCTTTCCATCAGGTGTCACTTTAGCAGCAGCAGAGAAATAAACAGAGTAAAGATGGCTTACAGTTCTTCTTTTCTAAGAACTGTTAGAAAAGCCAAGAGTAGCACACAGATTTGTTCAAATTCTACTTTTCTAAAAGATATTTAAACCTGGACATGCAAATCCCCCACAGTCAATTTTAAACCAATGAGGGTATGAATGGTGTCACTTGAGTGAATATGAGAGAGCCTGCACATACCTTTAGTGTCTCATTGAATTCTGGATTGGTGCCTGTTCTGATCTTGGTCTTGCGCTTATTGTTTCTGGATTTGTCAGGAAGAAGGTACGACTTGACATAGCTGTAGATGATACAATGTGAAAGTAATTATTGGGAGACCTCTACTTTGCAAGGAACAGTAAGGGACTTGGGTGAATAAAAGAGGTGAAGGGACCAGGTCATCAGACATGAGAGAACCAAAGAGAATGTAGTCTACATGGCAGGATACCTTAAAATATAATTCCAGGCTTCCAAGAAGAGAGAAGCTGTTAATGGATAGTGATGAAGAGTGTGGGCTCTGAAGTCCAGCCAACTAGGCTTGAATTACTCTATGCCTCAACGGTTTTGGTAAACTCAAGAACTTACTTAACTTCTCTGTGCCTCAGTTTCCTCTTCTGTAAAACTGGGATAGTAAGAGTATCTAACTTATGGCCTTGCAAGGATTAAATTGGTTGATACATTCAGGAGCTGACATGTTATATCCCTCAACAGATGTCATCTGTTCATAGGATCAATGCTCTCCCAAAATACTGTAATGTTATAGTCCTCTCCATTCTGATGTCAGGACTTCTGATGAGTGGGATCAATGGAAATGTGGAAATGGATGAATGAAGGAAAACAGTGGAAAAGAACCAATAGGAAATAACAACCCAGTGTCACTAGAGCTATCCTACCCGACACCTTGTGTTGAGTCTCCTGGAGCAGGGGCACCAAGGCAGACTTAGAAATGCACAAGATGTACCAGAGTCCCAAAGCACATTGATCAGGGCTTTAAATGACCTCCTTCCATGCTACTCTGAATGATTATATTGGTCCTGAAGCCCTTGGATATTTAGGTAAGGAAGGAGGTGGATCAATCTATACTCAGAATCTATACTCCTTTGTCTGTTTTTTTTAAATTTTTAAAACATTTTAAGTAATCTCTACACCCAACGTGGGGGCTCGAACTCAAACCCTTGAGATCAAGAGCCATACCCTCCACCGACTGAGGCAGTCAGGTGTCCCACTCCCATTTGTCTATCTTTAGACACTTGGAAACAGCCTCTCTGAGCTGTTTATTGGACCTAGGTCACCTGTTACAGAGGAAAAGGATAACCCAACCGGCCTCAGATTGAGGTCCTTGGAAATGCCTGCGCACAACATTAGCCATTGGCGGGCATCTGGAAACTTGGATTTCAGGAGGATTCTCATCACTCCCAGAACAGATGTAAGTGGCTCACTGGGACTAAACTATTTGTAAAAACAGTATGGCTGAGGCAGAACACCTGCTTTCCTTCATGGAGACTGGAATTTTGGTACGTGACCAGTTGAGGCTCTAAATGAGCTTGCCCAGTAAACAGTATTACACGGGTTCTGCTACGACTTGTTGCCGGAGGAGCTAAGCACATCCTGTGTGACTCCAGTGGGGGAGGATGCTTGGAAGTTGAAGCCTGGATTCTTCAGAATTTGGCCACACATGCCTTATATCTTTGTGGCTGTGAGTCTTCCTAGTAAATCATCAAGCCTAGCAATGACCTTGGGAGCCCCTGACACGTCTTTCATCTAGCTCCCTTCCAATGTACCTATGGTCCATACCTGCCTCCCCGCTGATACCTGGAAACCTGAGAGCCTCAAATTGTCCTTTCGAGTCATTCAATTGGTTTTCTCTGGAGGGTCTCACAGAGCAAGATACTCAGCGATCCCGGGGTATGACGACGCGTCAGCCAGGCTCTACCTCAGAGTGGCCTCTGGGTAAACTACAAATAGTCCTGAGTCATGTTGACTCATAGCTTTGGAAAAATCAGATAATCACAGACACAACCATTATACATACACTTAGAGAGTATTTAGAAGGGTCACGCAGGAGGAAAAGGACAATTGACCTTCTGAGAAGGCTCTGAATCAAGAAGAATGCTAAGACAAAACCACACACACTGACAAAGAGAGCAGTGATTGAAACAGTCCAAGGAATACGCTGCGTGCTTACGCATCTGTTCTCTGTTTCTTTTCATCTCCTATGGCCAGATTTCTGCAATTCTTGACAAAAATGCAGAGCCCGCCAGTTTTGTAGCAGTAGCTGATGTGGAGAAGGATTTCACCACTGACCTTCACGTTGCCATAGTCTCCTGTTTCACTGTAAACACTCATCATGCTGTTAAGGCTGGTCTGGAATAAATAATATGAAAAGAGGTGTCCAGTGTTATTCTAATTAGCTCTACACAGAAACCACCCCATTTATTCAATTATAATTCTTATTCTTTATAATGAGCAGCAAAATCTAGGATAAGTGAAGAAAAAAATCACTTGTTTTGCTTGGTTTTCTGGTATTATATAAAATCCAAGCCTGACAAGGGACAAGAAGACTTAAGAAGCATTCTAAAGGCAGGCAGGAAGCTTGCTGATAGGGGAAGCATTGCCTTTCTGGGCAAGTGGATAGCCTTTGTTTATTCACTTCTAATGAATACAAGGTCATTAGGGGCATTTCCTCAATCTGGAGTCCTCTTCCCATCCCTGTAGCTTTTGTCTCTCTCACTGGAAGACTCAAGGTCAATCTACTTCAAGGTCTAGAATGCATCCATCTGGACAAAGAGAAGCTCATATATTTCGTACTAGCAGGAGCCACAAGTTTCTTTCTCTGATATCCACAGAGAGCCTTCCAGCAGTCTCTGGGAAGCCCTAACTGTGGCTTTACCAAGGGCATGCCAGAGCATCATAGACCCTGGGCTGCAGTGAAATCCCTGGGCAACCGTTTGGGTTACAGAGGTAGGTCAAAGACTAGGGCTTTGCAAACCTCTGTAAAATTACCACCCACAAAAGAGAACACAAAAGAACCAACACACCAACAAGCAAAATAAAATGTAATAAAAAAGTCCAGATCCACCAGAATGAATAAAATTTCTGATTAGATACTAGTGACAAGAGACACAGTTTAAATTAAATGTAACAAAATTACCCTTTAGTACCCAAACTGTATCTTAGCAACATGACTGTCACAAGAGACCACGTGGAAGGCTTTCATGAGTGACCTAGCAGTTTCAAAAGCCCTGTCGGTGAACCACTGGGAAGGACTAGAGTAAGTACAAAGAGAGCCTAGACTTCCCACTTTATCTGTTATGCATAATGAAAGTCAGGACATTTCTCTAGTTGCTCAGAGACTGATCAAAGAACAGGATGCTGGCAACGTGGCCAGTATCTCTTCTAAGCTTAAGTCAAGGGCAAGAGTAAACCAAGAATTTCATAATTAATTCGAAATTACAATGGGAGCCAGCGAGCGATCTCATCTGTCTTTCCCATTCCTAAAACAGAACAGAATTTTCAAAACAACAGGTGGCTTTGAGTGGTGCTTTTCAAACTTTAACTGCACATAAATCACCAGGGGATCTTCTTAAAATGATTAAGATTCTGATGCAGTCAGTCTCGGGTGGGGTCTGAGAGTCTTCCTCTCTAACTCCTAAGTGCACAGTTTGCAAAATGTGTATTAAGGCATCCCAGAACACCACAGCAGCTTCCCAGGGGGACCATGGGGGCATTTTAAAATTTCAAGAGAAATGCAGTGACATCAATCAGACACCATGCAAACTCTTAGCAGTAGTTCACGGTGTCAACATTAAATCACAATTTATTCTTTTTTAGTTAAGTCTTATCTGCGTGAAGCTGAGTTTTTGACAGCTGCTGTGAAAAATAAGTAAGTACTGAATAAAAATCAACACGGAACAGGAAATAAAAGTGGTGCTGTCCAGTCACATGCCAAGATTTGACGAGTTGTTAAATGCCCAACAGATACCCACATCCCAGTAGGAAGGATTAAGGGCTATTTAAGAATGGAATAAAACTATTTTTCTTTCAATGTATGTGTATTATTGTTTTGCATGTCTACTAAGTTGTTAGGATACCAGTGATTATAAAGTTTTTTTGGTCTGACTGGTGTGGAGAACAAAGGCAAAAGAAATATAGAAAAGAACTAAATTTCCCTTGCAGCCCATTGGCAAATACTTCAGACAAGACAGGGTGACCTTCCTCCAGGAGCTCAAAATATCTCAATGTTAATACTTTTGCTAGAGCCAAAAGGCAAGCTTAACTTGACATGAGCCTGACCTCCAGGATCTCATAAGTCTTCTTTTTTTTTAAAGATTTTATTAATTTATTTGGCAGACAGAGATCATAAGTAGGCAGAGAGGCAGGCAGAGAGAGAGAGAGGGAGAAGCAGGCTCCCTGCTGAGCAGAGAGCCCGATGCGGGGCTCGATCCCAGGACCCTGGGATCATGACCTGAGTCAAAGGCAGAGGCTTTAACCCACTGAGCCACCCAGGCGCCCCCATAAGTCTCCTTTAATAGATAAAAATCCCCTTGGAAACTTCCTTTACCTCTACCAGCCTCCAAGATACCAGTTAGCAATCATCCTCCAAATGTATGGCCCCCTGATATATATCCAAAGGGTCTCATGCCTCGGGTTTTACTAGACAGTAGTAAATGACCTTATCTTCAACAGCAGCCCCTCAAGGTCCTGGAAACCTTGTTTCCAAATTCCTTAGAGACTTATGCTGTCCCCGACCCCCTCCCAACTTGAAAGTGTATAATCAGTCATCCTCATGACCCTAGTATTGCTCTTTCTGTCCACGGGCTCCGTCCCCGTGCTTTAATAAAACCACCCTTTTTGCACCAAAGATGCCTTAAGAATTTGCTCCTGAACCACAGCATTTTGCTATATTTCACCTATCACTAGCTACTTAATAAATGGATTCATCAGGTGTTACTTTTGGCTCAGGAGCTAGATGGAAGAATCACTAGGGGCTCTGTGAATGGACAAAGTGTTCGTCTCTGCCCCAAGTGAGGCAAGGCTGCTGGTCCCGGGACTATTCTTTGACTTCCAAGGGCTTCACGAATAAGCCTCTACCCCCTTGTGTTACATAGGAGGAAACACTGGCTCAGAGAAATTGTTGGCAGTGCCAAGACACAGAGTAAGAGCTCTAGATTTTTAGTCTGAACACCTCCCCAGCATGCCTTGCCCCACCTCCTATCACTCAGCTGTGCCAACACCACGTCTCTCAGTAGCCACATCTTCAAAGCAGTCCTCAGTGAGCAGCGGGCCCCTAAAGATAGGAAACTTAAGAAGCCATAAATGCTGAAGCTTGGGAGAAGTTAAGGCAGCTAAGGCAATTTTCCTACTAACCAAACTTTATGCTCTTAACCGAGACAACATTGAGATTTAAAATAGAGATATTTCTGGGGTGCCTGGGTGGCTCAGGGGGTTAAAGCCTCTGCCTTCGGCTCAGATCATGGTCTCAGGGTCCTGGGATGGAGCCCCGCATCGGGCATTCTGCTTGGCAGGGAGTCTGCTTCCTCCTCTCTCTCTGCCTGCCTCTCTGCCTACTCTCAAATAAATAAATAAAATCTTTTAAAAAAATAAAAATTATATAGAAATATTTCTTCTAAAGGTGTCTCATTAGTGGTAAAGCATGTGGAACCCTATGTCCTTTGACTGGCACTTGGATTCTAACGTTTAATGAATTTTTCTTTCCTTGAGATACTTAAATTCCGATAACATTGTTTACCCTTTAAAGAGAAACTCTGGGTAACTGTTCACAAGTCAGAAAATGATAAATACTGGAAAACCTGCCCACCTAGTCAGATTTCACATACCATGAAATTTGCAAAGCGTAGTTGGAAAGAAGGAAAAGGAAAGACTGAAAACTCACAGTGTCTGAGTCAGCATCAGGGACACTTAGGTAGGTCCACTTCCTGTCACAGCCTGGTTGAAAATTCTTTAAGAAAGTCACCCAAAGGTCAAAAGAGAAAAGGGTATTAGAGCAATGGACAGAAATCAGAGGACCAAAGAAAAAGATTTACAGACACATACACACAGATGGCGTATGTGGACACGGGGGCCCCTAAAGACAGCCTCTCAAGCAAAGCCTTGAACATGAAAATAAAAAGGGACATTATTCTACAGGCAGTGAGTGAGAAGCTATGGACAGTGTCTGAGGAGGAGAGAAAGCTGACTAGTTACGTATTTTGGGACAATGACGGGCAACAGCATGGTGGGTGGTTCCAAATGGACAGAATGGTGGCAGGGAAAGAAAGCCATCATCAGAGAACTGTGACAGTTTATGGGCTTGAGCTGATGAGAGCCTGAATTAGGGAGTGAAGAGGTTTTAAAAACTGGGTGAGGACCATGGAAGAAGAGAGATGGAAAAGCTCATGCAAAATTAGACCAAAAAGTACTCTGTAGGCAAAGGGCAAGCAGGAGATTATAGTGTCTTTTAACTCACTGTCACACATACTCTCAAGAACATTCCCCTCTCCTTTGGGAAAAATACAGAAAACCAAAAAGGGAAAGAAGAAGCTTCCAGTCACAAGCTAGAGAAGTGCTTACGGTAGACAGGCCACTTGCTAGACTGTGGGTGTTGGCAGAAAACCGGGAGGACACTAAACCATGAGCACCTTGCTCAGTCTCTTCCAAGGAGTCCTAAGGAAGGAGGAGAAAATCAGTGGTTTGGTTTATTTCTTTCCTAGAAAGAAGTTTCACTTCAAAAGCTGCTTTCTTTTTAAATACCTAAAAAATCCTATCCAAATATCTAGAAATCACCCTATCCAGAGGTTTCTTTTACTATCCATCCAACCTGAATGTACTTTATGCTACAGAACTACAAACCTAAAAATAGGTAAAATAGTGAATTTTGTTACATATATATTTTATCACAATACAAAAGTTTGTGTAATATTTAGAATGATAATTTCCTTGAAAGGGTCATACAGGGGCACCTGGGTGCCTCAGTGGGTTGGGCCTCTGTCTTCGGCTCAGGTCATGATCTCGGGGTCCTAGGATCGAGCCCCGCATTGGGCTCTCTGCTCAGCAGGGGGCCTGCTTCTCCCCTCTCTCTCTGTCTGCCTCTCTACCTACTTGTGATCACTCTCTCTCTCTTTTAAATAAATAAAATCTTTAAAAAATTAAAAAAAAAAGTGTCATAGAGCTTGCCAATAAAGTCATCTAGGTCTCTCTTGTTTTTCTTCATAAGAAGATTTCTAACTATTTCAATTTTATTTCTCCTGCCTTGAAATTTCAAATTTGGGGAAATTATATTTTTATAGAAATTTATCCATTTCATCTAGGTTTTCAAAATTCTCGGTATATCATTGTTGATATTATATCTGTTTTATCTGCAGTTACATTTACTTTTTCATCCGTAGTATTATTTGTTTTTGGCTTCTGTATTTTTTCCCTTGGTGGCCCTTCCAGAGATTATTTACCTTGTTAGTTTTTTTTCAAAGAACCAAGTTTTGTTTTGTTGTTTTGTGCTTTATCTTTGTTTTATAGTTAATTTTTTCAAATTCTTATTCTTTTTTTTTTAAGATTTTATTTTTTTTTTTTCAGAGATAGTGAGCACAGGCAGAGGCAGACGGAGAAGCAGGCTCCCTGCTGAGCAAGGAGCCCGATGTGGGACTCGATCCCAGGACACTGGGATCATGACCTGAGCTGAAGGCAGCCGCTTAACCAACTGAGCCACCCAGGCGTCCCATCATATTCTTAATTATATCTTTATTTTTTCATTCCTATTTAATTTTAAAAAATTATGTTCAATTACCCAACATAGAGTACATCATTAGTTTTTGATGTAGCCTTCAATGATTCATTAGTTGTGTGTAACACCCAGTGCTCATCACCACACGTGCCCTCCTTAATACCCATCACCCAGTTACCCTATCCCCCCCGGTCCCTTCCTTCTGTAACCCTCCAGTTTGTTTCTGAGAGTCCAGAGTTTCTTATGGTGTGTCTCCCTCTCTATTTCTTCCCATTCAGTATATCTTTATTGTGAGTTTAGTAATTCTTCTCCTAACTACAAGTTAAATTCATAGTAAATAATTTCACCCCTTCTTCCTCACTCATATAGATATTTAAGGCTATATAATTTTGGCCCAAGTGAGACTCCTGTTGCATTCTTTACTTTTTATTGGTAGTATTGTTATTTTCATATAGTTCAGATTGTTTTTATATGCTCATTAAGATTTCTTCTTCTTTAACCCAGTAATTATTTAGCAGTGTGTTTTTACTTGGCAGATCTGTGGAATAACTTATGTTTTTGTCATTAATACCATCATAATTGTCAAGGTCAGAGAACATGCTGAGTATGATTTTTAACAGAATTTTAAGTCTGAGATATTATGTATACATTCACTCTCACTTCTTTGGTCTTAGCTTTATAGTTATTAAGAGAGCAACTTTACTAGCTTATTTAATCACCTTTACTTTTTATATCCCTTGCAACATTCCCTGGGATTTCTTTCTCCTGAGTATTTCATTTAAACCTATTTCACTTTGAGCCTTTTTATCTTGTACCCACTGTTGTTGTTGAAAACTCTGATATTAATTTGATCCTTGTTCATGTGTATGTAATAGGATCTCTCTAGAAGTTTTTTTTTTAGGATTTTCTTTTCTAATTGATATTCTTGATCTCACTATAGTGTACCTACGTGTAAGTTATTACTTATATCTCACCTTTGGCACTTTCCAATTGAAACAGATTTTTCTTTAATACGAAGCATAGGGGCACCTGGGTGGCTCAGTGGGTTAAGCCTCTGCCTTCGGCTCAGGTCATGATCTCAGGGTCCTGGGATCGAGCCCCACATCCGGTTCTCTGCCCAGCAGGGACCCTGCTTCCCCCTCACTCTCTGCCTGCCTCTCTGCCTACTTGTGAACTCTCTCTCTCTGTCAAATAAATAAATAAAATCTTAAACAAAAAAAAAAAAACCGAGGCATAAATCCCAATTTTTTTTTCTTATGGTCCCTTTTCTATATTTTTATCTTTTGCTTTTTCTGGTTATGCTACTGCCCAGTTGATAGCACTTAAACTATTACTTCTCATATTTCTTTTTTAAAAAGATCCAAAAAATAGAGAAACAGTATAATGAACCCTTGTAACTGATCACCCAACTTACAATGATCGATACATTGCCAAAGTTTTGTCAGCTACTCTCCATGCTGTTTAATTATTTCCCACAGCTTTACTGAGGTATAATTGAAAAACCATAAAATTTGCCAAATCTAAGTGCATACCCTACTGTCTTTTAGCAAATTTACAGTTGTGCAAACATCAACATAATGCAGTTTTAAAAATATACCTATCAGCCCAATATGTTTCCTCATGCCTGTTTCCAATCAATGTCCATTCCCTTAGAAGCCATTAATCTGCTTTGCTTTCTCCGTAGATTCGCCTTTTCTAGATATTTCATATAAATGGAATCATACGATATGTGTCCTTTTGTGTCTGGCTTCTTTCATTAAGCATTGGGTTTTTAGGCCCACCCACCTCGTAGTGTGAATCACTACTTCACTCCTTTTTATTACTGAATATTATTCCACTGTATGGAATACAATGTATAATTTATTTATTCACCAGCTGATGGTTATCTGGATTATTTCCACTCTTTGGCTATTAGGATATATATATATATATATATATATATATCTATCTATATGAATACTTGTGTGCACATCTTTGTGGGGACATAGCTTTTCCCTTCTCTTACACACTCTGGAATGGAAATATTGGGTTGTATAGTAACTGTATGTTTTGCTTTTAAAGACACTTCCAGAGGTGCCTGGGTGGCTCAGTGGGTAAGCCTCTGCCTTCAGCTCAGGTCATGATCTCAGGGTCCTGGGATTGAGCCCCGCATCGGGTTCTCTGCTCAGCAGGGAGCCTGCTTCCCTTTCTCTCTGCCTGCCTCTCTGCCTACTTGTGATTTCTGTCAAATAAAAAAAAATCTTAAAAAAGAAAAAAAAGACACTGCCAAGCTTTTATTCCTGAGTGTCTGTACATTTTCCTTTCCTAAACAGCAGTGTAGAAAAGCTTCAATTTCTGTACATCTTTGCCAATAGTTCTGACTTTTAGCTGATAGCCATTCTAGTAGTAGATGTTAAGTGGTATCTCATTGTAGTTTTAATATTTCATTTCTTTAATAATTAATAATATCTTTTCACATAGTTATTGAATATTTATAAATCTCTTTTGGCAAAATATCTATTCAAATCTTTTACCCATTTTCTAATAGGATTATGTCTTTTTATGTTGATTGTAGGGGTTCTTTATATATTCTAGATATAAGTCCTTTTACAAATATATGATTTGCAAATATTTTACTCAAGTCTATGGCTTTTCATTTTTATAACAACGTCTTTTTAGATATAAAAATTTTAACTAAGATAAAATTTATCTTTTTCTTGAGTGTATCATGCATCATACATTTGGTGTCATATCTAAGAATTCTTCGCCTAACATGAAGTCTTAAAGATTTTCTCCCAGACTTCATTTTAGAAATTTTAGTTTTAGTTCTTACATTTAGGGATATAATCCATTTTGAGTTAGTTTTTATTCATGGTGTGTGTTTTTGGAGTTTTTTTTTTAATGGCATATGGATATCCAATTGTCTTATCATGATCTGATGAAAAGATCCTTCCCTCATTGAATTGCCAAAAATCAACTGACGAACTATATAAGGGCTTATTTCCAGACTCTCAATTATATTCTTTTGATTGCCTATGTTTATGCCAATACTGCACTGTACTGATTACTATAGCTGTATACGTTTTGAAATCTACTAGAGAAAATCTTCCAACTTTGCTCTTTGAAACTTATTTTCTTATTCTGAATTCTACATTTCTGTGTAAATTTTAGAGTCAGCATTTCTATTTCCACAAGATAGCCTGCTTAGATTTTAATAGGGTTTGTGTTGAGTTTATAGATTCACTGGGAGAGAATATTTAATCTTCTAATCCATGTGCGTACAATGTCTATTTATTTAGATCTTCTTTAATTTAGCTCAGCAATATTTTTTCTAAGTTTCAATACAACTGTCCTACAGTTTTTTGACAATTTTATTCCTAAGTATTTTATTCTTTTTCATGCTATTCTTTTTCTAAATTTTTAAATTTTTTTATTAACATATAATGTATTATTAGCCCCAGGGTACAGGTCTGTGAGTCGCCAGGTTGACACTTCACAGCACTCACCATAGCACATACTTTCCCCCAATGACCATAACCCAACCACCCTCTCCCTACCTCCCTCTCCTGGCAACCCTCGGTCTGTTTTGTGAGATTAAGAGTCTCTTATGGTTTTTCTCCCTCCCGATCCCATCTTGTTTCATTTTTTTCTTTCCTACCCAAGCTCCCCACATTGCCTCTCAACTTCTTCATATTAGGGAGATCATATGACAACTGTCTTTCTCTGATTGACTTATTTCACTAAGTATAATATGATCTAGTTCCATCCACGGCATTGCAAATGGCAAGATTTCATTTCTTTTGATGGCTGCATAGTGTGTGTGTGTGTGTGTGTGTGTGTGTGTGTGTGTGTATATATATATATATATATATATATATATATATATATAAAATATATATACCACTTCTTCTTTATCCATTCATCTGTTGATGGACATCTAGGTTCTTTCCATAGTTTGGCTATTGTG